ATGAGACCACAGAAGAGGATTTGCAAAGCAGTGAAGTGCCGCAAATGACGCTGGTACAGTACACTGTAAAAAATGACCGTGAATTTAATGGTAAAAGACTGTAAAAATGCTACAGTAAAAACCTGTTAAATGGTTAACGGTAAATTCCCCTACTATATACGGTGAAAAAATGTATTGGACATTACATGTATATTGGACATAAATTTTACGGTAGTAAAAATACCGTATAATTTACAGTGAATAACCTTAAATTGACATTCCCAGAATTCCCTGCGTTACATTTCAAATTTGATGTTTTTTTGTTGAAATAACTATGTTTCTTCTTAGTTTTTTCTTATCAGTTTTGTATATTAGGGTTGTGTGTTACACCTAATGTCGTTAAATGAATGTTTATTGCATTATTTAAGTTTCATGTGTGTTACCATGATGGTGTTTAGTGTTTGTGTGAATGACACTGTGCACCTTCTATATATGTTATTATTTAAAAGCTGCTTGTGATGGGCTTTGGTCCATCATGTGACTTTCTCATCACCACCTGCATTTGGTGGTTATCAGTGTATTACAAAGGTACAAAACATATTTCAGTTCTTCAATAGGATGGTATATTAACATTATATCAGTTAATGAAATTACGGTATTTAACTGTAAATTTAAGTTAAAACTGTAAAACCTAAAACGTAGCAACCGTATTTTTTACGGTAAAAGTCCGGCAACCACAGCTGCCAGATTTTTACCGTACATTTTACAGAATTTTTTTTACAGTGTAGGTCACGTCATGACCATGTCACGGTTTAAATAAAATACGTTCTGATATTCATTCATGTTTATTTTTGTGCTTTAAGTTAATATGGATAGATGGATGATTTTCATGCTGCTTGAACTGAGGCAATACAGTGATCTGTCATGACACTTTAAAGAGCCACAAAACAGTATTTATTGTTTGAATTAACCCCCCACACACACAAAATTTGAAAGTGGAGACCTCATCTCATACCAGAAGTAACCTGCTCTGTTTTGTCTGTCGGCATGTCGTCAGTTTCCTCTTTGCTCCACGATGTATTTTTTACTGTGTGAGAAAATGATGCGTTGCGTGAGAGCGGCATGGCTTGTCGGACATAGCAAAAGTAACTAAGGAGAGCAGGTTTTTTGCGAAGAATCAATTACTTATTCAAAAGAAGCAACTACTCAGAGAGTATGCGATTTCATGCAGCCATAGAGTTTATTGGGTATAATCAACGTGAAGGCAGCCATTTTGTTGTCATGTGACTATGAACAGGAAGTGATCTCACAAAGTGCTAGCATCCTAATATGCATAGTAGGCGATAACACTAGCTATGTAATGCTGTATTCATGCCATATCGTAATTATTGTAATTTCGAAATGACAACACGTGAAGTTCTACTTGGAGCTGTTCACAACCTTTTGGACTCGGACCTGGAACTATCGCATAACCAATGCCTAAGCATAGTGCGTAATGAATCTGAGGTGGTCAGGTGGTATAAGTCGTAGCTCTCAGAAAATTCCCAGTTCACAAGTTGTAATTACGAGTTCTAAGAGGACGTGAATGCTTTTTACAAGTTGGTAATTATGGTAATTACGATATGGCGTGAACACACCTTAAGTTCAAAGTTAAATAAAACTGTAGGCAAAAAGTACCCAGATGACCAATTTATAAAAGCACTTGAATGTGCGAGGCATCCAGTGTCAGTTTGATATGCTGATTTATATGGCAAACTGGTAGTTACTATCACATTAATTTTGGCATAGTCATAAACACACTGGCTTGTAGCAGAAATAGTTTTACCGTTTACGGCACTTTGTTTTTCTTCTAGTTTACCTATAGTGGCTAATCTGAAGTCTCGCACATTTAAAGAAAATAACTTCCGCATTGAAAAATAAGGTGGATAGGCCAACAAAATCAAGCTGTTATACAGTTTAGTCCCTCCTGGTAGAGGTTTATAAAATCTGACAGAAAAAGCATATTTCTGAGTTTAGTTATAAACCATGAACTACCAATTTAAAGTATCTACCGATTAATATTTATGTGTGTGTGCGAGTTAAAAAAGGAAGGGAAAAAAAGCAACAGAGAAAAGGCCAGCTTGGAGTTTGAAGTTCCAGAAAGCTACAAAACCTTTATATGTATCCACAAAAATGCGTGGGGGTCTGTGGGGTGACGCTCAAGGGGCCGGTGGAATAATTTGATAGCAGTCTCGGGGAGGGAGCGAGAGCCGCTGCTATCTTTGAGACGGCAACAAAGAGACTCCTCTTCACCGCAAGCATCATGCCCTGCGTTCTCCGGGGGTGGTGAGGGCTTGTTGTCTGTTTTGTGAGAGAGGGAGAAAAAAATGCATTGAAAGGCAAATCGGAGCGAAAAAGAGATGAAAAACATATGAAAAGCTGCATGATATATGCTTTCACACAGTGCATGGACCAAAAAACCCACCTTTGTCTGGCATAGAAGCGGCAAATAAACGAAATAAAATCATTAGACATTGATGTTCTTTGTTCAGACGAGTTTAGTTGCGCGTTGATTTGACAGACACCCGTCGTTACGCATGAAGAGATACTACACAGTTCATTAGTCTCCTGAGATCGTGTCAAAGTTTGAGGAAAGGAGTTCGCCCTCAGACTCAGAGAGCTGCGTTTGAAAGGTAATAAAACCAAAAACAGACGTGCAAAAATACACTATCATTCAGGTTTAAAGGCTGTGCTGAATTAGCATACAGCCATGCAAGCAGAAAGCTAATTATTTGGGAAGTTCTCCTGTGCGCGTCCTTTTGTTGACATATGTACAGGCTCCGTTCTTACTCTGTATTTTAGCCCGAGGTGCACACGGATGAAATGAAAAATATGGCATGCCAAATATGTTTGTATAATACCTTCCACATAAGCTTTATGTCAACTCCATAATGCAGACGCAGAATAAATGTAGCTATAACAGTATAAACAGTTGCGTCTTAGGGAAGTACTCGCACGTAATGACCAAAACTGGTCATTTACGTGCAAGTACCTCAAGTTCCTTAATGATTTAATAGAGCATCTTTTAGAGGATTTTTACCATATTACATGTCTAAAACCACATGGTTAATGTCCAAAAAAACAAACAAAAAAACAACAAAAAGGTCAGTACTTAACTTGCAAAACGCACAAGACAAAAGTAAAAATGGTCATTTACTCACCCTCATGTCATTCCAAACCTTTATGACTTTCTTAGCCTAATGGCCCCCAGCGGGCTGCCAGTGCAGGGCCCCTGAGAATTTGCTCATTGGCAAAACGTTTGCCCCTTAGCGCTGGCCCTGCATGGGCAGCCCTCTCTTAGCCCCCAGGAATCCCTTACTAGGTCCACACTATTAATCTACAACAATAAATCTGTTTTACTATAAATACTTTCCAGTTACTATAACTTAAGTCTTTGGGGAAAACAGTTATTATACATCTGAAATGGATGCTAATGTCTGTATTGTCAAAAATGTACAGTAGCCAAAGGCGTTTCAAATCAATGGATTTATTAAATACAAAATAGAAAACATTAAATTCAGGTTAATACAGCTACGTATAGCCAAAAATGTAAATACACAAAAGTAAAAAAAACAAAAGAAAGCAAACAAAGCAATGTAAAATTGTAGGATTTCGTCATGTGAAAGTTGACGTGTGCTTATCTGTAGTGCACCAATGTCCAAACACTGTTCATAGCTGAAGTTGGCTGATAGTAAATAAATAATCCAAACTCGTGTAATGAAAATGCGCCACAGCTCTCAAACACCAGACTCTTTCTAACCAGGAACAGTCAAAAATAGTCCAGACTATGGTCCCACGTCAAAAAGAACTTTAAATCCATATTCAAACTGGACCATGATGTGGTGACCTCACCAATAAAGAGTGCTTCTAAAATACATACAAATACACTGTCTTAAACCCTTAGTATCAATCTACACACAGGTCATACATACATGATGTAACATATCTGCAAAAAAATCAACTCCTTACTTTAAACTGGGCTTGAAATGACACATTTCCCAACCAGGACACAGCACAATGTGTTCAGCATGTGAGCTATGCTGGCTACTGCTGCTTGCTGTTGCTAACTCCCTCTACACACATGGCTTTACTTAAGGAAACCTAAAACACCCTAGCACCCCTAGTGGTAAGGAAGAAAACTGCCCACACAATTCTTATTAACAGGTTCATGTCTGTTATACCTCAAATATGACTCGTGAGACCCACTTTCCTGCAGAGTTTAGCTCCAACTTTTATCAAACTCACCCACCTGTGATTTTCTAATGATCCTGAAGACATGCTCAGGTGTGTTTGATTGAGGTTAGAACTAAACTCTGCAGGAAAGTGGATCTTGTGAGCCAGATTTGAGGATCTCTGGCCTATATGAAACAACAGGTTCTGAAAAGGTCTCTTTTGGTTTGAGTCATTCCAGTTCAACTGAGTGGCTAAAGAATGGCCAGTCAATGTTGTTTGTATTCTCCTAGTTGCATTACAGGGCTGCCTACACAAAACCTGCATGGGCCCAAAGGATACAAAAGTTGCTCTGGGCCCGAATGGGCTTGCCCACACTGGACCATCACTGGATTAATGTGGCCAGTCCCATAGTGTGGGCTGCTCACAGAGAGCCCATGGTGAGCCCAAAGCTGTGGGACTCACCTGGGCAAGCCCGCACTGGGCCTGTTTAGGTTTGGTGTGGGCTTGCCCTAGGCCACTGTGCCCGCAAAAAAGCCAGCATGGGCCCCGCAGGACCATGTTTGCAGAGGAGCTGTATTGTTAGTAATGAACAATGCACAAATTTTATAATTTTACATGGGACAACTAATACAAGCGCTTAAACAAAAATGCTAGCAGCACATTTCTGAATTCAGTTGTAACCAAATTAATGTAAACACAATTTGTTTTTTTCAAACTGAGGGTGACGTTTAAATGGTTTTCTTTGGATACTGACAGCATGTCACATCTTGTAATTAACACAGTATGTTCCCTTAAAAGTATGTGCTGTATCTCTAAACCAGCAAGAATGGTTCAAGCTGTTTTTTTTTATATTATCTGCATATATCGTCACACAGAGGGCATTTGTGCAGACTGCAGTAGTTTTCAATGCCCGCTCTGCATTCTCAGGCATTGACTCAGAGGTTTTTTTCAGTCTGGGAAACTATGGGAAACACACAGGGGTATTCAAGCAGCCACATCCTTATCTGGACTTCTGTTTGAGCTCCTAGGTCACGCGGTGAAGCAACGTAGCATGATGTCACACCTGGCTGAAAAATAAACACAAAAAATGTGAGAATTTTGACAGCAAGAGAAGGCATTTGAGAATAAAATTATTATAATTTGACTCCCAGACCATCACATGATCATATTCAGGCCAGATAGACACTGTTTCTGCGTAAGGGTCGGGTTGGAAATTTTTCCACAGCCAGCGTGATCTGTAAAACATGTCACAGTGGGCAGATCTTGTCAGAGGTTTGGGCCATTTCCAAAGTTCTGTTAACATTAAAAACCTAGAGTGATGGCAAACGTATAAAATGGACTGACACACACACACACACAAAATGATGCAAGGCTTTGTAATTATAATTTAAACAGAACCAGAGCTGCTTAGCAAGGGTGTGTGCTTCAGAAAAGACGTGTGTGGCACGGGACACATAGAGAACAGAGTGTTATGTTTGGCCTGAATTAAAAAAGAAGATGGCTTTAGTGTGTGTGTATATATATAAATGAGGGGGGATGTAATATATTCATGTTCTAAATTGGCCACTTATAAGCTGTCATATCAGTTTTCATCATCCAATTGAAAAAAAATTAGGTGCTTCCCTACATTTGTTTTCTCATCAAATATCCAGCAATCAGAAATACATCACATTACAAAAGTATAAGTTTATATACCATATCTAAGTCAAACCACTGCTTTCTATTCTGAAGGACTCATCCCTTCAAGGGATGAAGGGTGTAGGAGACCAAAAAACTGTTCCTTGGAACACAATTCTGCATCATCTTGCTGAGCTGCTGTTGTCACACACATAAAATCATGGTATCCATCGGTTTTACCCTTCGAAATCCTTTGTTCCAAAGGTTTTGAGCACTTTGGTTTGTATGACTCTTCAATATGGCAGCCATGATTGTTCTAACTCCGAAGTTCTCTTTGGAGGCGGATTTGGAATGTAGTGAGAAGATAAATATTCCCAGAATGCATTCTCAGTTAAAATGTTGACTATTTATATTTAAATCCTGACAAGAACAGAAAACAAGTTCAGTCTAAGTCAATATGTTATGCATTTTTATATCATTAAGTATCAGATCGCAAAATGTGTTTTGTATGAAAATATATGATTTTTAGCAAAAACGTGAGCATGAATGTTCACCCCTAACTGTCAAAGGGGCATAAGATCTTATGAGAATGTATGAATGAGATTGTATGCTCATATGGATTCATATGATTTAGCCATTACGAATTGTCATGGGAATGTCTCGTATCACTGTATTAGTTTAGCAACATGTTAAAGGGATAGTTCACCCAAAAATGAAAACTCCCCTATGATTGACTCACCCTCAAGCCATCCTAGGTGTACATGAGTTCTTCTTTCTGAATGCAATCGGAGTTATATAAATAAAAATGTCCTGGCTGTTCTAAGCTTTGTAATGGCTGTTGAAATTTTGAAGCCCCAAAAAAGTACATCCATCCATCACAAAAAGAGCTCCACATGGCTCTGGGGGTTAATAAAGGCCTTCTGAAGCGATGCGTTTGTGTATGAAAAATATCCATATTTTAAACTTCATAAACTGTAATCTCTAGCTTCCTCTAACTGTCGTACACGTGTTCACAAGAGAGTGAATTTCCAGTGGATGATGTAGGATGCAGGCATAGTGTAAGCTCCAATGAGAAGTGACAAATACAGAAATGCAGAGGAAAGAGCAAAACAAAACACCATTTGCTAAAGCGTAAAATAGTTATGTATTGCCATGAGAGTGGTTTGGTATCACTGTATTAGCTTAGCAACATGCTAAAATCAAGCACTATCCCAAGTAAGAAAAATATGCTCTAATAACGTTTCGCAAATGTTCCCATTAAGTTATGAAAATGTTATTTCTGAATTTTCATTGGACATTAAAAACGCTCTTCTGGGTTATGTGAACATTCTATTTTCTCATTTTGCAAAAATGATGGGAACGTTACTTTTGAATGTTCTCTGAACGTTTTGAAACAAGTAACAATTACAAAATGTTAGATCAACGTCTGACTTAAAATGTTTAAAAAACAAGAACATATTTGTGCTAATGTCTTAAGAACATTATTAAAGATTATTGACATTACTGAGCAAGAACCTTTAGCTACACCTCCGAGAAAGATATCTGTTAGCTGGTATTGTAAATTGGAGTAGTGCATGTTTCAGTGCATGTAAGAGTTCCAATTCTATCACTTACAGGTTTCCATTTCAGTTAAGACGTTGTTAGGCAGTAGCAAGGTAGCTTATTAGGGTTTGAAAAGGAGCTCAAGTCTCACACCAGACTCTGATTTCTTAGAGTAAAAAGTGCCTATTTAGTATAAAAAATGCTGCAGGGTGGAAATGCATTGTGGGACCTGGGAAATGAACATGCTGATTTATTCGATTGCCCTCAGTGCCATTTCATTTCCCTTTTCTCAGAGAGGCACACACACTTCTGATAGATATGAGGCTCCGTTCCAGCGGCCGTGACTTCAGAAATGACGTTTGGAAAATGGCCCAATCCTGTCAGTCATCTTACAATTTCATTGGTTCCAGCTGTCCTGGGATAGCATGAAAGTCTCATTAGTATAAAATAATAAACATATATATATATATATTAGGGCTGTCAGTCGATTAAAATTTGTACTCTAATTAATTACAGGGTGCTGCGATTAATTAATCTAATTAATCACAAACTATAGTTGGCAAAATTAAACAAAAACACAATATTGTGTTTAAAATATAGCACAATATTAACTTCTTATTTACTGAACTGTTGTATAAAATCACATTTGCACTTGTGTTCTTCGTGACAAAAACAGCACTTTTGTGATATTGCTCTCATTGCTGGTGTGATATGCTTATCATATGATATAAATATGAGACAAAAAGTCATACAGGGGCATTTTTTTGCCCCAACATCTTGCATTTTAGGACATAACTGCATTTATGGATTTGTTGTCCTGCATCATATTGTCATCAGTCAACTGTATGAAATGTAAGATGACGTACAGGTCTGGGGGCGCGGCCAGTGTGTTAACTGCGTTAAAATATTTTAATTGCGTTATTTTTTCATAACTAATTAATTAAGTTAACATGTTAAACTGACAGCCCTAATATATGTGTATATATATATATGTCAGGATCATGGACCTGTTTTGTTGTGTTGTTTGTGCCCTGTCTTTGTTCCTGGTTTTCCTTATATGGTCATTTTCCTGTCCTCATTTAGTTTAATTATGATTCCTGGCCCCTGTGTTTGTTAATTATCCCCAGTATTTATGTCCTTGCCTTTGCGTTCTGTGTTTGTTGGTTCTACTCATTATGTTTGTGTGTTTCCTGCCATTTCCAGTGTGGATGTACCCTGTGTTCCGTGGACTAAAGACTGTTTTCGTTTATTCGTGCCTCCTGCGTGCTTCCTAAACAGTGAACTGTGACAGAAGAACCGACCAAAACCGTTACCTCCGTGTCTACCCTCCATTTTTGTTTTTCGTGCTTTTGTACAGTATTTTTTGTTTCTGTAGTTCTCCTCATGGAACCCTTCACCAGCCCGGAATTCCTCCTCCTCCTGCTGGAGCAGGGGGACAGGTCTCTCGAGGACCATACAAGACTCTTCCGGCTGCTCACAAATGCCCGCCTTCCCACCTGCTCATGCCTCCGCTGTCGTCTGGCAGCCCCTCTGCTCACCCTCAGCCCACCATCATTACGGTGCAAGCTCTGTGGGTCTGCAATCCTCCAGCGTTGCCATGGCTGGAGAATCCCTCACCTCTGCCTCCAGCCTCTGAGGCCTGGACACCGCCTCGGCCCGTAGACCCAGCGGCTCCACCTCGGCTCCTAGCTCCCTCGCCTCCACCGTCACCCACCGATCCACCAGCACCACCGGGCTCCCTCGTTCCAACCGGCTCCTCCTTGGTCGGACGTCGACCCGCCATCGCCTCAGAACTCTGCTCCTCCGGCTGCACCTCTTCGCTCCATCCCACCGGCTCCGTTGGGCTTCTTCCTCCCGCCAGCTCCACTTTGGTCGTCAGTCGCTCCAGCTCTGCCGCGGATCTCCGCATCTCTGCCTCGGTCGCCAGAGGCCTCGGCTCCACCCTGGCCCCCAGGATCCTTGGCAACCCCCTGGCTCGTTGGCTCTCCGCCTCTGGCTCCTCCACCACCTGCTCCACCGCCGTTGGTCGGCCCCATGGAGTCGGCGGCCATTCCTCCTCCATGGCTCCTCCCTCCGTCGGCTCCACCGTGGGTCGCCATCATGGCTGTGGCCTGGGTCCTGCTTGGCTCCTCCTGCTCCGGATCCCACCTGTTTCCTCCCTCCATCGTCTCCTCCCTGGACTCTGTCTGCTGGCCCCCTCCCGGACATCCATCCTCCTCCTGAGCCTCCTCCTTAGTTCCTACCCATTTCCCCCCCTCTGTTGTTCTACGGTGCGAGGACACACCTTCCGGGAGGGGGGCGATATGTCAGGATCATGCCCCTTTGCCCCTGTCTTTGTTCCTGGTTTTCCTTATATTGTCATTTTCCTGTCCTCGTTTAGTTTAATTATGATTCCTGGCCCCTGTGTTTGTTAACTATCCCCAGTATTTAAGTCCTTGCCTTTGCGTTCTGTGTTTGTCGGTTCTACTCATTATGTTTGTGTGTTTCCTGCCATTTCCAGTGTGGATGTACCCTGTGTTCCGTGGATTAAAGACTGTTTTCGTTTATTCGTGCCTCCTGTGTGCTTCCTAAACAGCGAACTGTGACAATATACATGTATGTGTATATATAGTGTTTTTTAATTGAGTTGAATGCAATCAGTTTCCATGAAAAGTAAAAAATCAATCTCTGTTTATCAGATTCTGTACTTTAGATCTGTGGCCCTCAAGCTGGGAATCTGTATCAAAATATTGATGGCTTTCTGTCGTCCTTTTGCATTTGTGATGCGCACTGACATTTTGAAAGCTTCCTGGGAGCCATGAACTCTCAGCGGAAGCAAGGTTATAGTGAAGCGAAATGAATTGCCTTTCCGCATTGTTCGTTCTCCTTCAGGGCGTACACAAACACATAAGAATAACTGTCAATGTTATTGTTGAAGAAAGATCGTCTGGCCGGTTTCGTTGAAACGTCCTTGGAGCAAAAACACAATGCACAATATCAAGAAAGTCAAATGTTTCTGAAGTACTTGACTTTGAGGCATTTTCATTGCCTAAATCCAATCAAATACCAATCGTTGAAACCCACTAGCCTAGCCTAGCTTAGGAGTGATTTACTTCAGCAAAGAAGTCGACACAACCACCCACAGTTTTTTGGCATGTAAAAAGACTGCTTTATCAACCTAAAACAGTGGCCATAAAGCTGCTCTAAACATATGGAGCCTGAGCCTCTTGTTCAATCTATTGGCTAATTAGCGCTTGAGTCGCTATTTGTCCAGGGATGTTCAAAAGACCATTGACTGCCATGGCAACGCGAACATGTCACAATACAGAGCCTTTGTCTCTTTGCTAAAGCATCAGTAGGACTGTCTCAATCTTAATTAGACTCAGGGGCGACTCAGATGCAACTTTAGATTCAGAGTTGAATGGGAGTTTAAGCCCTACACGCACATAAAACTTGCTAAAAATAGCTAAATATTTCACAGTTATTTCACAATACGCTCCAAGATAATTTCCCACGCCCACCTTTTGATGAAATGTCAAACCACATTAAAAATAAGTAGACCGTGGAGCTGGTTTCAGATCAGCTGCTGTACCCCCTAGCCTGTTAGATTAGCATAATGCTAGCTGATTAGCCTGCTGTTTTAGCTACCACTGCTACACAAGAATTTTCCATGGCAACGCGAACATGTCACAATACAGAGCCTTTGTCTCTTTGCTAAAGCATCAGTAGGACTGTCTCAATCTTAATTAGACTCAGGGGCGACTCAGATGCAACTTTAGATTCAGAGTTGAATGGGAGTTTAAGCCCTACACGCACATAAAACTTGCTAAAAATAGCTAAATATTTCACAGTTATTTCACAACACGCTCCAAGATAATTTCCCACGCCCACCTTTTGATGAAATGTCAAACCACATTAAAAATAAGTAGACCGTGGAGCTGGTTTCAGATCAGCTGCTGTACCCCCTAGCCTGTTAGATTAGCATAATGCTAGCTGATTAGCCTGCTGTTTTAGCTACCACTGCTACACAAGAATTTCTATAGAAACTATCAATGTGAAATGTTTTTGTACTTTCAAACTAATCTATGGTCATTTCTTTTTATGTGTTTCGCAGACCCAACGTTTTAACGAGACAGTAAAGCTGATCTCAGATCAGTGACCGGAATGACTCTGTGACAGATTAGAGACTGAAGATGGCATCAATTACTGGATGACAAAAGCTCTTCCGATCAGCACATTGTGTGTGTGGCCTAGATGATTTCCACATGCTGATTGCATCTGCTGGTCATTAGATAGTGAAGTACTTACAGTTCACTGCTGAACAAAAGTAAACGGGGAGTTAAATGTGTTTTAAAAAAAGTTAAATATATAAAGTTAAAAGACAGAAGTCAATGAAAGAAGTTCAAAACGTTACCAGTAGGGGGTCGAATATTCGGTGGTTAGCGTCGGTTGTTGGTAGATGCCATTATTACACTTTACTGAGGACAAAACATTAATGACCATTTGAAATTAACATTTGGCATTCAGATGTAATGAAATTCTTTGCAAAAACATAAACAAACAATAGTTGACCAAATTTTTAAAGGCTTTTAAGTATTTTAAATATGTTGTATTGCCTCTCTTCCTGCCACAAAGAATTATGGCAAATGTAGCAACCAAGGCTGCGTCCACACGAAGCTAGAGCTTTCCCTATCCGATCTTTTTTCCCCTTGTCTCAAGAAATATCTGCGTCCACACGAAACCACAAAACTATATAGTATACATGCCAGACCAGTATGTGGCGCTGTAATTTTGCCACATAGATACACTAAAAACGGAGAGGAAGACTTGGACTATGCGCATAAACCTTGCGCCCGGTATACAAACGAACATGGAACAATACATTTATTAATCTGTGTTAATGTTAGTTAATAAAAGACAACCGTTCAGTGTTTGTTCATGTTTTTGTTGCGGTTACGTGACGTAGTGTCTGACTAGGCGCGAGACGTGGGCTGATGACGTCATCGATTCAGAAAATATACGGATTCGCTGTCCACACAAAAAAGGTCTCAAGAAATATCTGCGTCCACACGAAACCACAAAACTATATAGTATACATGCCAGACCAGTATGTGGCGCTGTAATTTTGCCACATAGATACACTAAAAACGGAGAGGAAGACTTGGACTATGCGCATAAACCTTGCGCCCGGTATACAAACGAACATGGAACAATACATTTATTAATCTGTGTTAATGTTAGTTAATAAAAGACAACCGTTCAGTGTTTGTTCATGTTTTTGTTGCTGTTATGTGACGTAGTGTCTGACTAGGCGCGAGACGTGGGCTGATGACGTCATCGTTTCAGAAAATATACGGATTCGCTGTCCACACAAAAAAGCAAGGGCAGCGTTTTCAGATTTATCCACTCTGGGACCTGGTTTCAAAAAATATCAGTTTCACTCTCCCAAAACGCCAGATCCGTGTGGACGAAACGCCTATACGATACAAAACGCATCTCCGTGTGGACGGGGCCTAAATGTATTTTCTGCAAATACACACAGTATTGATATGCAATTAAATGCATTTAACATATACAAACAATGGGTAAAAATATACAAGGAAAGTACAAAATATATATAAATTTAAATATATTTCCATTTTTAGAATTCGTAGAAAAAAGAAAAATTAATCAATTAATAAATTATTATTAGAAAAAATAATCAATTAATAAATTGTTATTTAAATATATAAAATATATTTATTTTTAGTTACATGTTTAATGTTACATTGTTAAAGTATTTTTTTAACAATTTAATATGTAAATACAATAATTAGTTGAGTTGACCATCTTAGAATTATGCTAGCAGGTTAGCCTACTAGATGAGTATACTAGTAGCTAATTAGCCTGCTAGGAGTTATTTTAGTATCACTGATTAATGATATTATAGGTTTTATTGATATTTTGAATTAGAATTTATCTGTATATTTCATCAGAATTTTAGTTAAAATTTTTGTAATTTTGTTGTAGTTGTCATTTTTGTTAGTTCTTTTTATTAAATATTTTGTAGTTTTTTTTGTATTTAGTTTTAGATATTTAAGTACTATAGCTTAAACTAAACTAAACAAAACAAAAATGAGAAATGTCGTAAAAAAACAAGTTCAAGGTTTTTTTTATGGTTTTGGTTTTAGTTAACAATAATAACCCTGCTAGCTTAGCTAACATTGCTTTAAAATGTTTTCGAACAGGCATTTTTGGAATCCATCCAAGTCGCATGCTTCCAGTTTGTACGCTCCCATTGAGATGAATGGGTATGCTAACGGTTAGCTTATACAAACAAATAGGAAATCATTAGCAGCGCCCAATAGGACTATTCAAATCTTATTAAATTGCCCCTGGTGGCTGTTTCTCTGTATTAGCAAATAGTGAGTTATTCAGCATAGTTGACAAATTTTGTTTACAGAAGCATCATTAGATGTTGTTTATTAATGGTTTCTCGCAACAGAACATTTATACTCAGATGGCACACAGAGAAGAAAATAAAACAGATTAGCTTGCAAATCCCGCATACTATAATCAAAAAAAATCGCTCAAGCATTCGGTAGCTTGTTTAATGTAGTCTTTTATATTAAAGAACAACATTTATTCATGGTGAGATATATTCACACTTACTGGAGTTTATCTGGTCAATTTCACAAGCCCTGGTATACACATCAGGCAAAGCAGTCTGTCTCTCTCTGGACCATTTTATCAGCTGTTTGATGGAGTGAAGCGGCCTGAAAGCACGGCTCCGAGCTAGAAGGACCCTTCAGAAATCACTGCTCAGTTCTCACATGCAGGAAAAGAGAGAGACAGGAAGACAGAGAGACATTGAGACAAAGCTTCGCGTCCTGTCAGGTTGCCACAGTAACATCCATAATCCATGGCAATGTGACCTGATAAAACAGCCTTACTGACAGGTCTGGCAGACACACGGTGAGACGCTAGCATCTCTTTTTCCACAGAGAGAGGAACTGCCTATTCTCTCCATGGCAGTTTTAGTTTATTTAAGGCTCTGTCTGCAACTGAGGACATATATATATATATATATATATATATATATATATATACACGGGGCTATACGTTAACTTCTTTTTCACATAGCACTGGTGCTACAGAGGTTGAAAGTTTTGTAGCACAGGCCAAAAAGTTGTAGCACAAGTATAAAATGTATGTTATTATGTCTGAAAACAAACACAAGCTATGTTCAACTTAAACAGGCACTGATGTCCCATACAGAGCACAAAAAATACAAACCATCACAAAAAATTGTTTTAGCCATATTTTCTTAATTTGCTAAAACTGGAAGAGTGCAGAAACATAACACCTCTTACACCTTAACAAAATATAAAATAAAAAAGATTGGCAGACATTTAGGCCAAAGTGAGCCAAGATAAAAATCTTTGTCATTATTTCATCTTTGTTATTAGAAAATAAGACATTACACATTACAAATACACATAATATACAAATAAAACAAATAGTGCTTTATTTTTCAGGTACAATATTTAGCAGTAACATTCAAGAAATTGAATGAACAAATATTAAAATAAAACGCTATATACACTATACATCAATTATACTTTTTTTAAAGCAACTGACTGATAAGTTCATTTTTTCTGCATTTTGTTGTTTTATTAACATTAAAAGAATAGTTCACCAAAAATTCTGTCATCTGTCTTCCAATTCTTTCATAGTGTTTCCTTTTTATACCATCATTTACTCAAGTTTTAAACCTGAATTAGTTTATTTCGTCTGTTGAACATAAAAGTTATTTTTGAAGAATGTGGCTAACCAAGCAGTTGCTGGTCCACAGTGACTTTCGTGGTATTTTTTTCCTACTGTAAAAGCCAGTGTGGACAGCTACTGTTTGGTTACTCACATTCTTCAAACTATCTTCTTTTGTGTTCAGCACAAGAAATAAATCAATACAGGTTTGGGACAAAATGTGAGTGAGTAAATAATGACAGAAATAAACATTTTTGGGTGAACTATCCCTTTAATGACAGTCGGCAGCATGTTTAGTAGCTACTGTCCCTTTAAGAGCTGCACGCGTTTCTCTCTCAACTGTTTACTTTCATTTTAGACATAGCCAACTGTGTTTATATGTAAACCTTGTGTGTTTTTGACAGTATTAGACACAAAATCAATCAGACGTGAAAGACAACTTAGTCCAATAACCAGGTGCTTTTGGACAGGGTCTGCTTCATGAGTACACGCTCAGAAAAGGCGCATGCAAAACAGCACGTGAATTAAATGTTTAACCGGTATTGCTTTAAAGCAGATGGAAATAATGTAGTTTTGTGATTGCGCATAAGTGCAGTGTCCCCTGAGAGTAACTCTACCACCGAGCTAACACTGATGTGAATGCATGACACACACACACACACACACACACACACACACAAACAAGCACAATGAAATCACTTCACACTATTTAGCGTGTGAACATGCATTTATGAACATGCAAAACTGTATCGCACGCGTGCTACAAATTATTCATTGCACAGACCAGTTTTTTCATAGCACATACTGTATATGTCGCACTGTGCAGCCCTGATATACACATATATATATATATATATATATATATAAAATGTACAGTGGCGTGAAAGTTTTTGCACCCTTGCTGTTTTTAATTTTTTTGCATATTTTTCACACTTAAAAGATAATGCAAGTAAATGCAAAATGCAGATTTTAAATGATGATTTCATTTATTAAGGGAAAAAAGCTGTCCAAACCGGCATGGCCCTACGTGAAAAATGTATTGCCCCCTTCTGTTAAATCATGAAAGAACTGTGATTATCCACATTATTTTAGAGAGCTGAGTTAAATTTCACTAGCCACACACAGGCCTGATTACTGCCAGACCTGTTGAATCAAGAAATCACTTAAATAGAACCTGTCTGGCAAAGTGAAGCATGCTTAAAGAGCAACATATGTCTGGAAAGGGTTATAAAGCCATTTCTAAGGCTTTGGGACTCCAGCGAACCATGGTCAGAGCCATGGAGGAAACTTGGAACAGTGGTGAAGCTTCCCAGGAGTGGCCGGCCTTTAAATTACTCCAAGAGCGCAACGACGACTCATCCAGGAGGTCATAAAAGAACCCAGACAGGACAAAATGATCCTAAACACACCAGCAAGTCCACCTCTGAATGGCTCAAGAAAAATGTAATTAAGGTTTTGAAATGGCCAAGTCAAAGTCCGGACTTGAATCCGATTGAGATGCTGTGGCATGACCTTAAACAGTCCATTCATGCTCGAAAACCCTTCAACGTGGCTGAATTAAAACAATTCTGCAAAGAAGAGTGGGCCAAAATTCCTCCACAGAGATGTGAAAGACTCATTGCCAGTTATCGCAAACACTTGATTGCAGTTGTTGCTGCAAAGCGTGGCACAACCAGTTATTAGATTTAGGGGGCAATTACTTTTTCACGTAGGGCCAGGCAGGTTTGGACAGCTTTTTTTCCTTAATAAATGAAATCATTATTTCAAAACTGCATTTTGTGTTTACTCGGGTTATCTTTGTGTAATATTAAAATTAGTTTGATGATCTGTTATATATATATATGGTCAAACAATAATATAAAAAATGTATAGATAAATACAAAGATAGACACATAAAAGTAATTTATGAATTTACTTTATTATTGCATGTAGTTAGTAGCAAATTACAATTAAAATATAGTCAATTACGATATTATATAAAGTAATAATAATAAAATAAAGCAATATTTCTAAAAATATTACATTATATTACGATGCATTACATTATATTATATTATTAATTAATGTGAGTGTTTAAGCAGGTGAAGACCTGATAGCCTTTTAGATAAAACTAATATTTCACTTACAATATTTCTTTAAATCGTTCTGTTTACAATATGTTTTGGTCAGACAAAACTCATATCTTTGCTGGATGGGCAAGTGAGCTTCCAAACAAAGAGAACCCAGCCATCTGGAGCTGTTACATCACACTCATTGTGATTAAAATAGAAAGATTTGTGTGTGTGTGTGTGTGTGTGTGTGTGTGTCTTTGAGCGGGGCAGAATCAAAGATTAAAGGCTAATCATTTGAAGTTATGGTGCATTTTCCCGCCGCTTCGACACACTGACATGCCTCACAGTGCCGCAGTACATCTTCCTCTCAGACATAACAGCCTTTAGAACTTGTATACTCATGCATCACTGTATTATGTGGATGGATATTAAAGCTCTGTACTGTAATTATGATGAAGTCAGCTGTGTGTCTTACATTTTGTCTAGCAAGGCAAATCTCCTACATTGGAGCTTTGGAAACTCATCAAGCATTTGGACAGATTCCACAAAGAAAGGAAAAAGGTGTATGCCCGGCCATTTCTTTCTCTTTACGACGGGCCATTAAACAAACATAATGGCCAAATTAAAATCCTGTCATCCTCCGCAGCACTTATGAAGTTAAGCTAAAAGAAGATGAAGCCAAATGAGACTGAGCAGGTTACAGGTTAAATCCTCGGCTTAAACCATGACACTACATCCAATTTACTATATAATCTAATATCACTACTTTGTCATATTAATATTATTTATATTATATTCATATTTATTATATTACTATTAACTATTTATAATAATGACTAATATTTATTATTGTATTAATGAGAAATAAAAGTATATATAATTTTAAAACATAAATATATAAATACTGTAAATAAATAATATTACTTTATTGTATTATTATTTTAGGATAATATTACAATTAATTTATCATATTTATAATGTATTATTAATATTATTATTATAGTAGTAGTAGTAGCAATAACACATTTTATAATAACACAGTGCATTTAGTATTATTTTATATTAATATTATAATTAATTGTATAATATTTATAATTTACTTATAATGTAGTTAGGATGCTGTAATAATATTATAATTATTTTAAATCAGTAATAAATAGTAATAAAATATGTATTATAACAAATATTCATTTATTATTATTATTATTATTATTAAAGTCTAGGGCAAAGGATGACTATTGACAGTAGTAGCAGAAGTAATAACAATAATATTACATGTTACATTATGTTTTATTATTTTATATTCATATTATAATTAATTGTATAATATTAAAAATGTACTTTTAGTTATGATATTGTAATTAGTATTATAATTATTTTAAAATAGTATACTTTTTACATAATAATAAATGTTATATTAATATTATTGTTGTAATATTCTTTTTTGTTAAAATAGTAATACATAGAATAATAAAAAGATATTATATCAAAATGAATATTCATTTATTATTATTTATATATGGTCTATAGCAAAGGATGAATATTGCCATTAGTAGTAGTGGTAATAAATTTTATTATTATACAATTATATTTTATTATTATTTTATATTAATATTTAGAATTTTCATATATATATAGTTACAGTATTGGAATTAATATTATAATTATTATATAATATAATTATTATTATGGAGTTATATAATAATTATTTTAAATTAGTATACTTTTTACACAATAATAAATGTTATATTAATTCATAATGTTAATTTTAAGTACTATTAAAAACAGCATATCTTATTATTACTTGTTATTTTTATTTGAATAGTAATAAATATAATAATAAGATATTATATTATAACAAATATTATTATTATTATTATATAGTCTATGGCAAAGGATGAATATTGCATATAATTTTAATTTCTCTGAAAATGAGAGCATTTTTTTTTTTTTTTTTTGCAATTCATAATTATGCAAACCTTTATTTATTTCTGTCTTTC